ATATATATATATATATATATATATATAGGAGCCTCTTGTTGGAGTTCAAGTTGTAGAAAAAATCATAAAATTCGCAAAATCCTTAAGAATCCGTCAAACAGTGCCTTGAAGTTGGAGCCAAGCGCTCCGACGCCCAGGGCACTGTTTCAACACAGTGCAACTACACCCATTCTTGGGTTTAATTATTCCAATGATTTTTTGACCATCCCAAAGTCATTTTCCATGCCAAACTCTCAATCCTTGATGAGTTTGATCTTTATTAATTAGGACTCCCAAAGTTAAAACCGATTAAACTTATTTTATTCAGCCAAACACCATAAAGGCATTTTGCCTCTGATAACACCCTAAGATTTCATATCAGGTCGATGAATGTGTTGTCGAGTTTACTCAATGGAAAGCGTAGATCGAATTGATTGGGACGGTTAGCTTTCAACTAAATTCTTTAGGTCACACCATAATAAATTTCCACCTTTAACCAAATTCCAATACAAGGAATTCAAAAACATATCTCCAAATAAACGACACTCCTCCTCTTCCAAACAAACTCCAATGGGCTAAATTAATGACAAATACCAACTAAATTCAAGCAATGTTCAAACTTTGAGAAATTGCAGCAGAATCCCAAACCTTTTCGTTTTTTGTAGACTTACCGGAACCTTCACTTTGTGTCACTACAGGTCCCAAACCTTTGAGAAATTCGTAGATGCAGTCCAAAATGACGGAAAACATTAGTTCCACCATCAGTTGACCTCAAAAATAGAAAAAAAATGCAAATTTTGACCAATTTAAATAGAGCATTTTTGTCCATTCCAATTTTCCTCTTTATTTAAAACAACAAAGCCATTTTTCCATTTTAATATCACTCCCTCTCCATTCTCTTTTACGATTCGAACTCATAGGTCATCTTCTACAACGTTGAACGAAGATAGCCAACAATCCGATGAAATTCAAGAAGATTTTGCATGTCACATATTAGGACGTCTTCCCTACCTGTATATGGTAAGTTTTTAATCTTTTTTTCAAAATATCTGGTTGTAGACATATTTGCTTCACAGTGGGTTATCAAATGTGATCATATTAGTACAATATTCCATAATTTTAAGCATGTTATTGAGTTGGAATCATAAAATATTTCCTATTTATTCGCACTGATTTTGCATTCATGTTATTAAACTAGGATTTGTTGATGACGGGTTGCTAGTAAGATTTATTTTTTTGTTGAGGGAGAAATTGAAGTTATTTCCCCATAAAGCTACATCACGTTGATGTATTTTTTAGAAATATGTGAAATCTTGTGTACGAGCATGGGAAGATAGCCTATCTAGACTACGTGCACCCTGATTGGTTTAATAGATTTCTCCTGGACAATGCTATGAAGATGATAGGCTATTTTGACAAAATGAGGTATGAGGATAAAATTGGAAAGATGAGATTGAGTGAGGCATCGCTCTGGCTGGTGAAAGATGTAGACTTTATGAATGTAGTTAGTTTACTTAGTGAGAAGAGGCTTGTTGAGATGTGGTGTGCGCCCGTAGTTGAAGTGTTGGAATTGCCATGGGACGACAAAATAGGGCATGATATTTCGATGGTTGATGTTGACACTGGGGAGGTGTTGGAGGTGGTGGAAGAAAAATGGAAACTAAATGTTGACAAATAGTTTGAGTATAATGTATGTTATGCAGTTGAGGTTTATGATGAGTTTCTAGAGGGTGATGACATGTATGTTATTGATGAGGTTGACAACAATGGTGATGTTGGGATGCAGGGAGTTCTGCTGATGTTCCTGTAGATGGAGTAAGTGACTTACATGCAGCTGAAGATCATGTATTTATAGATCACAATGAAGAGGCACATGCTATAGATCATAATGAGTCACATGTGTCACCTCCATATGATGCACTTGCTGAAGTACAACATGATGTACCTACTGATGCATCATGTGTTGATGAAGCCCCTGCTGATTCACCCTATGTTGATATACCACCAGCAAATGCACCCCCTTTTCCTGTAGAAGATCATGTACCTACAGGCGGGCAAAATACGAGTGATCAGCCCATAGGTAAAGAATCAATAGCGGACCTGCATGAATATAATGAGGCACATATTGCATCCTCTGCAGATGCACCACCGGATGATGCACCTGATGTTGCTAAAAATGTGGACTATACCGACACTAGAGAAAGAAATAATGAGATGGAATTTGAAGAAGGCATAGTGGAAGAGTTCAGTGATTTAGATTATAAATAGGAGGAAGATGTACCAGGTGATGATAATGATGAAGATATTTCAGGTTGTCTGAGGGTTTTGATATTGGTGATGAAAATCCAAGGACATAACATAAGGGTGGAGCAAGGCATGTAGATGCTGATAGAACAGACTATGATGAGTTAGATGATCTTAGAAGTATTCCAAGTGATATTGAAGAACTTGGTGGCTCTTTAAAAGTCAGGAATGAGCCTTGGTTTAATCCCACTATAGACATGTAAGATCCACAATTTCGAATAGTCATGAAGTTTGACAACATAAAGATATTGAGAAAAGCAATTGTACAGTACTCCATTAAAATTGTAAGATAGGTAAAATATGTCAAGAACGATAGAACAATACTACGAGTCAAATGTCAAGACAATTGTTCATATCTTTTGTATGCCTACAAGCAGCCAGACAAAAGTTTCAGAATTAACACATTTAGAGATGAACATACATGCAATGTGGTAGAATAGAAGAGTGCATGCTGGTTACTTGGCAAAAAATTATATACGGAAGTTCAGATCTGCCCAAAAATATCCATTAATAGTTTTACAGAGACGGTAAAGGAAGATTGTATGTATGAGATCTCTAAACATCAATTTTATAGGACACGAACTAAATGTGCAGAAGTTGTCAATGGTATTGTGGCTGAACAATACAAGATCATGTAAGACTATGGTGAAGAATTGAAATGAACTAATCTTGGTAGTACATTGAGAATTGAAGGGGGAGGTGATACATTCAAAAGAATGTACATATGTTTGGGGGCTTGCAAAAAAGGCTTTAGAGTTGGGTGTGGGAATGTGATTGGTTGGATGGATGTTTCTTAAAAAGTGCACAAGGTGGGCAGTTGTTGACTGTAGTATGTATTAATGCCGATAATTGTATGTTTCCCGTAGCCTGGGTTGTTGTAGATACAGAGGATATAACAAATTGGGAATGGTTCTTAGAGGTTTTAGTAGTTGATATTGGGATGTGTAATGCTAGAGCTTAGACCTTCATTTCTGACAAACAAAAGGGCTTGGTAGACTCCATAAATTTGTTATGTGAGGGTGCTGAACATAGGTTCTGTGCAAAATATTTGTACAACAATTTCACATTGATATATAAGGGACTGACTCTGAGAAAGGCAGACCAAAAAAGTTGAGAAAAAGATCGCAAGTAAAGCCACCTGCATGCACCAAAATGGAAAGGACTAGAATGAAAATAATATGTAAAAAATGTGATGGGACATGCCATAACAAGAGACCATGTTCTAAATCAGGTTCACAACAGGATACAAAATAAGATACACAACCAACTCAATCACAGGGCAATGGAAAGAGAAGAGCCTTTACACAGACAATGGCAAGAGAAAGACTTTTATTCCCACAGAGCCACAGGCAAAGAAAAAAAGTTGGACCAAAAAAAAAAAACATTGCTTTTTGTACGATGATCCTTTTAAACAAACTTTTTTTTATGAAGTTTATGTGATTAGATCATTCGATAGAACGAAATTGGAATTGCTTTTGTATGATGAATGAATGATGAAGTAAAATGATGATGTAGAATGTGAATATTCCAATTTAAAAAAATGGTTCTTTCTGTCCTTAATTAGTGACTGTTTTTTAATCATTTTGTTCTGGGTGCTCTGGAAGTGGAACAATTTTGGAATTGAGATCGAAAGTGATGAAATAGAATTTCTTACTCAAGTAAAGAATTGAGACATAAGATTAAATTCCGTAAAAGGTTTGGGACTATTATACAATTCATTCAAAAATTTTGGGACTTTATGTGAATTTAAAAATAAATGTTTAGGACCTACGTTGCTACGTAGTATGGGACCTACGCTGCGACGTAGTAAAAGGTTTAGGACTTTCTGTTCTACTTATTAAAAACATTTGAAACCTGCAATGCACCACCTACTACGGGTTTTTGAACAGATTTTTCCCATCATTTGGAAGCATTTGCTCACATGGGGAGGGAGGAAATTGTGCAAAATGAAAATTATGGCAACACTGTTGAATGATAATACGTCTTACTTATTTAATGAAAAATAAGTTACAAGATCATACACAATACTCGATTACTAACTCTTGAACCCACATTCCAAAACACAAACACTACATATGAGCTCATAAACCTAACACAGATTTATGCACAGACCTATTTTACAAAAAATCCATATACAAATCCTAATATCCAAGTCTTCCATAAACCACAACTTCTTGCACGTAGGGTGTTTAGTTCAGCTTTCATCTCTCTTCTAACACGTAAAAATCGAGGGATTATCTCTCTCGAATTGTGACACATTGGAGGGTCGTACCAATCAAAGAAGTTACATCCATCGACATCTTGGCATTGTAGGTAATTGAGAAATATTCTTTATGGGTTCAAGTTTGTCCACGAGGTCTTCATCTGCACAAGGTCACCGCATTTACATACATTACTCTTCATATTCACACCTATGATAATGGGAGAGAGAGAAGAATGTAAAAGACTTGGAAAAGGAGGGAAATGAATAGTGATTAGCATACTGATAATGGAGAAATTGGAATGAATAAAAATGCCCCTATTTAAATTGGTCAAAATTTGCTTTTTTTCTACTTTTGAGGTCAACTGACGGTGGAACTAACGTTTTCCGTCATTTTGGGCTACATCTACGAATTTTTCAAAAGTTTGGGACATGTGGTGGCACAAAGTGAAGATTGAGGTAAAATGTACAAAAAACGAAAAAGTTTGGTACCGTTGCTGTAATTTTCCCTATTTTAAATTTGTTTTCATATTTGTAAGATTGATGTCACCAAACAAAAATTGCGATCATATCTTTATAAGACAAATGAATGCATTTGAAGAAGAGTGAATTATATATAAAATTACCCTTTTGTATCTTTGGTGCCAGTTTCATTTTCCCACGTGGTTTCTTTCGCCAATCTACAACTCGTTGCAGTTGGAGCATGATAAATCGCTAGCATATGTCAACTCGCCAAGGAAATGAAACAAAATTCGACTTTTAGCAGGAAATTCATGGCATAACAGTCACACAGGATTTGAGTCGCAATTGTTTGTATTTAATTAATTGGCTAGAATTTGGTTTGGAAATAGCAATAATTAATACTGTACTAATTTACATAACATTATTAATTTGATATTCTATTGCTTCATCAAATAATTTAATATAATTTACCCTAGATTATTATTTTTCAAACAGTAACCTTTTAAATAGAAAATTGCGTATTTGTTAAAATATTTTATCTTGTTGCAAATAAGTTTACCTGAAAAGTAATATGAAGGAAAAAAAAAGATAAATTTAATGTATTATATTATCCAATCTTGTCTATAATATTACTAGACATCCAATAGAAGAGTCGTTATTGGAATCACGGTGTGTTTAGCTAATGGATTATGGTCGAGATACGGGTACTTAATCATATGTAATGGTGATATTGTGATTTTATTATGTATTATATTTTATTGCGGTTCCTCATTTTTCTATATAAATATTTAGTATCCCACCGTGACTAATCTTTAATGGTAATAAATTTAAAATTAATCACATGATTTTTTTCCCTTCTTTTATATATGTTTAAATGGTCACATTACCCCTTCTTTTTTGGATCACATTATGTGCACCTCTATTTAACTGTTTTTTATTTAATAGAGAATACGTTAGAGAGGATGGTAGTTGCCAATAAATGAAAGATTGGAATAGAGATATCAAATGATAAAGTTTAAGGGTATTTAAAAAAAAAAGGTATTGAAATAGGGGTTGCAAATTTTCCTTCACTTTATTGTTACGACCTCTATTAAAAATGGCAATTCAACTAGATATTTTAGAACTATTCTTGTCAACGTGACTTCCTTCTAATGGTGTCAATCGAGTTGAGCGGTTTGTCGGTTCTAGTGGTGTCGATGAGCCGAGCCGAGCCGAGCTTAAGCTCAGCTCGTTGGGTTTTTCGCGAGCTCGCCCAAAACGAGCAGCTTTGCTCGCCTACTTGTCCAATTTTGACCTTTTTTTTTGTGAAACGTTACTATAACTAAATCTTAAATTCATAACAACTAAATGGGCTGGATTAGGAAATTAAAAAAAAAAAAATTTGAGGCCAAAAAATTTAAAAAATAAATAAATAAAAAAAAAATTTCAAAAAATTAGGGGGGTCCTAGACCCCCCCCCCCAAGGACCCCCCTCCCCTCCGCCTCTGACTGGGAAGTCTTTTGGTATGCTAAGGTTGTACATGTTCATATAGAATTATGTTACTTGAATTGACAACCAAATAACTACACATTTTGTTTTTGCTCCACCAATTTTGCAATATTCCTAACGTAGAACTAATGATGTGCTATAATTGTCTAATGAAGTTTTAGTTAATGGTGGACAAAATGAACATACCAAACCAGAATCAAATTAAATCGAACGATTTGATTCTATTCTACAAAAAAATTAATGATTTTGGTTCTTAGAATCGAGAACCATTTGATTCTAGAACCAGACTAGAATCGAGAATCGAACTCAATTTTTATTATTATTTCCTTTTTACAAATAAGCGAATCACCAGAAAAAATTAAATAAATAAATAAATCGAACTTTAAAAAAGTACCAAGTGTGAAATGGACAAAAATGTCATTTACCGTTATATTTTAACTTATCACCTATAGGATAAAGCAGTCAAACTCTAAATCTAAATTCTAATTCATTTATCTAATTTTCAACTTAAGACACATGCTCACACTCCTACACCATAGCTATCATTACATTTGATAAATGTTGGTATTTATTTTCTTGATTTAGTATATATTACTAACTTATGGATATTGTGATAAAATTTAATTTGCATTTATCATATGAAAATTTAAGTAATGGAATCAGAACCAAATGATGCAATTTCAATTTTGTCCCGTATCTAAAAAAAAAATTATTGATTCCATTATCAAAAAAATTATTCGTTTATGGTTCAATTCGACTCTTTTGGAATTAGAACCAAATGGAACTATGTGCCCCCTTAGTTTTAGTACATTTC